TGAGCATTTTTGGCACTATCGGCTTTATTGGAAGCACCACATTTTCCCTGTGTTTTAAGGTGCTTCCATTTAGAAGTCTATGGGGCCAAAATTCTGCTCCTCTACTACAAGTTACGCATAATACAAATGCACATAAAAAAAGCCTCTATTACACCTAGCTATGCTAGATGTTACTTATCAATGGAAAACCGGAGCCTGGGACAATGCACATAACTGCCTTAATGAAAATAACTTCACAGCAGAGGTTCCCCTATCATGTCAGAGATCAGAGGTTCCCCCATCGCGTCAGAGGTTCCCCCATCGCGTCAGAGGTTCCCCCATCGCGTCAGAGGTTCCCCCATCAGATCAGAGGTTCCTTTATCGCGTCAGGGGTTCTCCCTTTATGTCAGAGGTTGCTCCATAACCTCAGAGGTTCCTCAATCATATCAGAGGTTCCCCATCACATCAGGGGTTCCCCCATCATGTCAGAGATTAGATGTCTCCTCCATCACATCCAAGGTTCCTCCATCACATCAGAGGTTTCTCCATCATGTCAGGGGTTCTCCCAACATGTCAGAGGTTCCTCCATAACCTCAGAAGTTCTCCCATCACGTCAGGAGTTCTCCCATCACGTCAGGAGTTCTCCCATCACGTCAGAGATTCCTCCATAACCTCACAGGTTCCTCAATGATGTCATAGGTTCCCCCATCCCATCAGAGGTTCCTGAATCAAGTTAGAGAGTCTCCAACATGTCAGAAGTTCCCCCATCGCCTCAGAGGTTCCTCAATCGTGTCAGAGGTTCCCCCATCATATCAGAAGTTCCTTAATCATGTCAGAGATTCCTCCATCAGGTGATCTGATGTGATTGATACTGGCAACGGGGCCGATACACAGATCTGTCTTCGGCTGTGTCCGAGGTACACAGCCGGCAACAGATCTCGCCACAGCGCGGCCATCATTTTACTATAGGCCGGACAGGAAGTGGTTAAAATGGTGTAAATTTTGAGTTAGGATATATACCACAAGTACTATACATCCCACAGCTTTGGGAAACATAAAGTTAAACAGTAACTCCGATTTTGTTGAGAAATAAACCTTCTCCTCTGGGGGTTCTATGTACATTGCAAGGATTTTAACAAATTTTATTGCAGATTCCTACCTTTTGTTATTCTGAAGAAATAGCTGTTTGTCTGTGTCCATGTGCTGAGGGAATCTGTATGGGAGTGACTTTATAATAATTAACTGCTGCACCTACAGAGCTCTGAGGAAAATTGCAGGGTCTGCATCCCTTCAGACATGATTTCCTATTGGGCGTATCTCACCAATATTTACATTTTTGTTGCAGGGCATGCCTAAAATCTGATTTGTCTCTTAGTGCAGACTTCTGGGAAAATCAGTGAGCCCATCACACAAGCAGTGAGCCCATCACACAAGCAGGAAATGATGTTTCTGGGGGGCATTCTGTACACATTCTGTGTACAGAACGCCTTCAGGTGGCCATATTGCATTTTACAGAAAATAACAGTGCTGCAGATTGAAAAGGAAAGTTAATTTTTAATAACATTTGATTACAATATGACTTGTGTCGCAATTGTATATGTTATATTATTTATTTTTTATTCCCCACGAAAGTGGAGTTACCCTTTAAAGGAATCAGATGGCTTCTGAAAAAAAAAAATGAAATTCAGTTTAAATGGTATCCGTCTGAGAATGCACAAAGCTCTGGGAAACATAATTTCCTGGCCCAATGCAGCAAGTGGCACATCAATAACGGCAATGAAGAGATAAAGGAGAACGTGATGTATTCCGCAGATCAGCGCTGGAAGTCAGGCTTACAAAACAATGATCATAACATTGAGGTGTGCTATCTGCTCATCAGGGTCAGCTCCAACGGCAATACCTTGGATTCCTCATAATAAGAGCTTCAAATGAGTTCAATGATAGGACATTTTAATAACAAAATTGATTCTGATCTTTTATGGTGTAAAAGTTTACTTTTCAAAAGTTTGATTTATTTATTTTTAAAACCTAACTCCAGTTTTAAAGCGTTGCATTCCGGCAGCAGTACAAGGGACTTCCCGTCCCACTCCCAGAACAAAATTGATTCGGGCTGAGCACTGCTCATCTATTCACTGAAAACTCTGTGTTTTGTGAATGAATACAAGGCTTCCTCTGATTGGCTGAGGTGGAGAGACGGACAGATGACGTTGCGATCGCCTCCTCAGCCAATCAGAGAAAGCCATGTAACCATTCGTAAAATACAAAGCTTCCTGTGAATGGCTGAATTTTTCCCAGGAACGGGGTTGCAAATCCTTCTCATCCTGCTGCTGGAACACAGTGCTTTATACTGTATGTAGATAATGTTGTACTCCGCTCACAGTGGGAGCATCGGTTAGGCTCGGTTCACACCAATGCGTTTTTTTTAGTGCTTTTTTCAGAAATGCACTACAGGCCATTTAACATGGTTTCCTTTGGAACATGTTCACATCTATGCTTTTGTGAACTGCTGTGTTTTTGGAAAGGGTCAGGGTTTTTGCTAAAATAGAGTTCGATGGAGAATCTGCTGAAACGCATGGATTTTGCCACGTTTTTATTCTGCCCAGCAAAAAAAAAAAAAATTCCACATTAAAAAAAAAAAAAAGAAAAGCAAAATGCATTAAAAACACGTGTAGAAAAACGCAAAACGAACTGCGAAAAGCACTGCAAAACGGACAAAAATCAAACTGCATAGGTGTGAATGGAGCCTAAGTAAGGGAAATAGTTCAGCTTGGCCCAAAGAAACCTGGAGTTAGGCTTCAAGGTAGCAGTAGAGCACGGATGTCAAACTGGTGGCCCTCCAGTTGTTGCCAAACTACAAGTCCCATGAGGCATTGCAAGATTGACAGTTACAAGCATGACTCCCACAGGCAGAGGCATGATGGGACTTGTAGTTTTGCAACAGCTGGAGGGCTGCCAGTTTAGCACCCCTGCAGTAGAGTGTTGTACTGTGTTAGCCATCAATTAATGCAAAAACTTCCTTTCAGTTTCAAGTATAACTAAATCCAAAGCTTTTTTCAGTTTAGGAGTGTAGAGGGATTAGAACCCATGTCAGGTTTTTACTGCTGTCTGTGACCCCATTAGGGAGATTCATCCTCTCTATTTGTCCTGTTTACTGAAATCCCCGAAAGTGAAAGGAAAATCACAAATGTTTGGTTGTCACCAGAACTAGAGGGGAACTCTTCCAATGGGTACAGTAGTTGTGCTGCCAACCAAGTATACCCTCACTTTGATGGGATTTCTTCTGTCTTCCTGTTAGAGCTATAAGAAAGGAAGTGAAGGAAAATCTCCCCAAAAGGAACACACTAAAATATAGAGCATGCTTAGGCTCATATCTAGAGACCCTTTACCCCTGTCCACATGCATTTGTGTGTGCATTAACATGCTTCTACAATGTGCTAAGCACAGTTGGGTCCATATATAGTTGGACACAAGTACATTTTTAGTTCTTTTCAGGTATTTACCAGAACGTATTCAAGCTATAGTTATATAATGGATATAGGCGGAAAGTGCACACTCTCAGGTTTAATTTGAAGGTATGTACATCCAAACTGAAGGAAGGGACCAAAAGTAATTGGACAATTGAATATAATCATAAATAAAATGTTCATTTTTAATATTTTGTTGAGAATCCTTTACTGGCAATGACTGCCTGAAGTCTGGAACTCATTGACCAGGGGCGGACTGACAAGTCATGGGGCCCCCGGGCAATAGGGGATCATGGGGCCCCTGTGTCCTTGCCCAAACTCAAAAAATCCTATGAAAAAGGTACCAGGGGTATCTCATGGGGCCCGCTACTGACCCCGGGCCCTCGGGCAGTGCCAGAGTTTCCAAATGGTCAGTCCGGCCCTGTCATGGACATTACCAAAGATTGGGTTTCCTCCTTTCTGATGCTTTGCCAGGCTCTAACTGCAACTGTCTTCAGTTGTTCTTTGTTGGTCTTTCTGCCTTTAGTTTTGCCTTCACCAAGTGAAATGCGTGCTCAATTGCGTTTAGATCAGGTGATTGACTTGGCCATTGCAGAATATTCCACTTCTTTTCCTTCAAAAGCTCCTTGGTTGCTTTTGGTAAATACCTGAAAAAAACTAAAATTGTGCCCGTGTCCCAATATACAAGGACCTAACTGTATGTGCCTTGAAAATGAATGTGCAATACATATTGGTGCACCAAAAATGCATACAAAATGACTGCTGTCTGGTCATGTGATACACTGGGTCCTCTTTCTCTCTTGATCTTCTCCAATGGGGAGCAGCCCTGTATGAGGCAAAGAGCGGTGCTGATGTGATGACTTAAGCACCGCTATCTTCATCATCACACTGGAAATGAAGGTGGCTGTGGTAGACCCGCTTTGGGGGTGGGCCTATGACACCCAAAATTCATTGACTTCTCAACCCAGAAGACAAAAATGAAAAATAAATTACTGCGGTGGACAGCCCCTGAATGAAGGTGGGTCATTTCTTTAAACTATTGCAGCTTTTTGTTGAGCATAACATTAGCCCAGAGTTGAACTTTTTTGACTGTAGCACAGCTGCTGTAATTGTAGGCTTGCGTAAAAACTATTAGTAACCTATTTACTGGTTTTACTTGTAGCCTGGAGTTGTTTCACAAGTGCAAAGAGCAATGGTGAGCAATGGTCCACAATCGCCAATCATAGTTCATCAGTCATAATATGGGCAGCACAGTAGCTAAATGGATAGCCTGGCAGTACTAGGGTCATCGGTTCAAATCTCAAGCACCTGCCTGGAGTTTGCATGTTCTCCCTGTGCCTGCGTGTTTCCTCTGGGTACTCCAGTTTCCTCCCACACTCCAAAGACATGCCGGTGGGTGAATTGGATTCTCTCTAAATTGGCCCTAGAATGTGTATGTATGAATGTAAGTTATGTACTTTAGTTTAGGGGCGGACTGACAATTCATGGGGCCCCTGGGAATAGGGGATCATGGGGCCCCTGTGTCCTTGCCCGAACTCATAAAAGCCTATGAAAAAGGTACCAGGGGCATCTCATGGGGCCCCCTACTGACCCTGGGCCCTCAGGCAGTGCCCGAGTTTACAAATGCTCAGTCCACCCCTGCTTTAGATTGTATGCCCCTTGAAGGTAAGGGACTGATGTGAATGTACAATATATACAGTTGTGTTCAAAATAATAGCAGTGTGTTGAAAAAAGTGAATAAAGCTCAAAATCCTTCTAATAGATTTTATTTCCATACACACAAATGCATTGGGAACACTACACATTCTATTCCAAATCAAAACATGAAGAAAAATAGATCAAATTTGTGTTGTTCCTCTAAAAAATTGAAGAAAAGTGAATATTAGACTGTTCAAAAAAATAGCAGTGTTTGTGTTCTTCTTTACAAACTCAAACATTCACTATATAAACTGAGAAATGTTTGAAGATTTTGCTTTCCTTTGAATCACTTAATGAATATTTAGTTGTATAAGCACTGTTTCTGAGAACTGCTGTACATCTGTGTTGCATGGAGTCAACCAACGTCTGGCACCTGTGAACAGGTATTCCAGCCCAGGATGATTGGACTACATTCCACAGTTCTTCTCTATTTCTTGGTTTTGCCTCAGAAACTGCATTTTTGATGTCACCCCACAAGTATTCTATCGGATTAAGATCCGGGGATTGGGCTGGCCACTCCATAACATCAATCTTGTTGGTCTGGAACCAAGATGTTGCACATTTACTGGTGTGTTTGGGGTTGTTGTCTTGTTGGAACACCCATTTCAAGGGCATTTCCTCTTCAGCATAAGGCAGCATGACCTCTTCAAGTATTCTGATGTATTCAAACTGATCCATGATCCCTGGTATGCGATAAATAGACCCAACACTGTAGTATGAGAAACATCCCCATATCATGATGCTTGCACCACCATGCTTCACTGTCTTCACAGTGTACTGTGGCTTGAATTCAGTGTTTGGGGGTCGTCTGACAAACTGTCTCCGGCCACTAGACCCAAAAAGAACAATCTTACTTTCATCAGTCCACAAAAAGTTGCGCCATTTCTCTTTAGACCAGTTAATGTGCTCTTTGGCAAATTGTAACCTCTTCAGCACACGTCTTTTTTTTCAACAGTGGGACTTTGCGGGGGCTTCTTGCAGATAGCTTGGCTTTACATAGGCCATTCGAATGGTAGTTTTTCGCTTTCTTCCACGTCTTTCAGGTTTTGGTTGCCATTTTAAAGCATTTGCGATCATTTTAGCTGAGCGGCCTATCATTTTCTGCACTTCTTTATATGTTTTCCCCTTTCCAATCAACTTTTTAATCAAGGTACGCTGTTCTTCTGAACAATGTCTGGAACGACCCATTTTCCTCAGAATTTCAGAGAGAAATGCACTGTAACCAGCATGTACAACATTTGCTGCCTTCCTTCCTTAAATAAGGGCAATAATTGCCACCTGTTTTTCAAAGAATGAATGACCTCACTAATAGAACTCCACACTGCTATTATTTTGAACATGCCCCTTTCAATTAGTGATTCAATTACACAGAATCAGCAGCATGCATGTCATGACTGTTGGGTCTGTTGGATTTCTATTACTCTACTACACCTGCTAGTAAATTATTTGCCATGTAGAAATATAATTTCTACCAAAAACAGTGATTGATCAGGTTAGTGATGTCTGACTGCTATTATTTTGAACACAACTGTATGTAAAGCACTGCATAAATTAACGGCGCTGTATAAGTACCTGTACTAATATTAATAATGACCTTAGAGCTGCCAAAATAATGGTACCTATCTCTTGGCTATGCATTAGGTTCTCAAAATAAAAAAAAGAATTAAATACACCCATTTCTTCCTATTGGAACACCAAGTGATCTTTTGATTTGTCAACGAACAAGTATTTTAACACAAGCATTCATGGAAACACAATGAATGGAATCGAGGTGCTTTAAGTCAATTAAAGGCAGCAGAGCAATCAAGAACGCCACTTATGGAGAGATAATGAAAGTACTTAATTCATCGACCTATGTGGCTTCTTACCAAACCATGAAACATCTGCTAATAAGATCATTAGTTAATGTGTGGTATCTATACAACATACGGACGGTACTGTTTCCAGGAAATGTGATCTAAATCATGCCAGGAAAAGACACCAAAGAGGAAAATAACGATCTTCAGATGGAAAAAAAGACACTCTACTAATATGCCTTTTTTGCTTTGAAAATCTGAAAGCGTCAAGCATACTGAGTCAGATGAATGGACACTTGACAAACTCCGATCTTTCTTAAAGTGGACACCTATACTCTAAAAGTGAAGATTTGCTATCTTATTGAGAACACAATAACTGTGCCCAAGCAGTACCCTGACAATGTACCTTTTGTCTGGAATTGCTGCTGAAATACAGCAGTCCAATTGCTTGTGTGTGTGCCTAGGCCAGGGGTAGGCAACCTGCGTCTCTCCAGCTGTTGCAGGACTACAAGTTCCATCATGCCTCTGCAAGTCATAGCTGTAACGGTCAGCTTTGTAATGCTGCAATGCCTCATGGGAAATGTAATTCCACAACAGCTAGAGAGCCGCAGGTTGCCTACCACTGATAGGCACACCAGTGCTTACAATGTCACAGCTGTATATTTGCTCTTAAAGGATAAGTTCACTTTTTAAAAAAAAAAAAATAATAAATGACTATTTTCTTGCAGGTAAAAAAGCATGCATTTACTTTTTTTTTTTTTTTTTGAGCATGGAAACCATTGCATCAGCAATCAGTAGATTGCTTGTACAATGCAGGACTCCTGCAAAATGTCAGTGTAGCTGTGAGCAAACAGATACAGTCTGACAGGACTCAATGAACTACCACAGCGCTCAACAGCACCATGGTAGTTCATTCAGAGCTACAAGCTGACATCAACAAAGGCTGTAGGGACTTGTAGTTCATTCATTCACAGAACTCTCTGAATAAATGTTGTGGCCATGTGGGCAGGGCCCCGCACGGCTGGGAAGTTTTCAAAAAGTGACAGCTAGTATGGGGAACTTCTCCCCATACTGCTATCACAGGGAGGGGGGTGATCGGGCAGCATGACTGCAGCAGTTGGAACATGTTACATGTTCCACCCTAAAAATGGGTGGAACATGTAACATGTTCCCAAAGGTGAAATTATCCTTTAAAGATTCAAGGCACCATACCTTTGACTGCTAGTCTCAGCAGATTTTAAGTGACATTTGGTGATGTTACTACTGTACTGCTCACTGTTCTCCTTGTTAGTGGTCGACATGAGGAAGCAAATCCCTGCCTCCAACCAAGATGGCCACCTGCACAGTAGCAGTAACAAGGTAAGATCAGCTGCACGGAGACCACATGCAATACTGCTGACTTTACCTTCTGCTTGCCTTCTTTTGGCACAGCTTCTAGTGGTTTTTTTTATATACAAGTGCATCTAAAACTACCCCCCCCTCCAAGATTGACAATGCTACTGTACTCCTGTGCTCCTTCATTCAGAGTGTAGGTACTTTATTACAGGAGGCATGTTACTGGGCAGATCACCAGGTGGAAACAGAGGGTAAGCAGTACACTTTATCCCTGTACCCATAGACTAAATGAACCTTTAACGCTTGCAGGTTAGGCTGGTGGTGCCCACTGCAAGGGATTTTCTATGCCCTGAGTGGAGCATTATTCCTCAAAGCTCACAAGAGATAAGTGAAGGCAATCAAATCAGGTCTCAGCACTTTTCTCCTTCCTTCTCTTCCTGTGCCCCAACTTTTAGTTTACATTAGACTAGAAGACTGTCAGGCTGCCAACTCACTGCTGCAAGGGGGAAAAGAAGATTTACATAGATAGGAAGATGGGCTTCCTGCACCCCAAAGCAAACCTTTGGGGTGCAGGAAGCCCTCCCAGCTGGCAGAACACAATAATTACGGTTAGTGGTTATAGCTGAAGGCAGTAATCGAATGTAAGAAAATCTTACAGGCTGGTTGTATCCAAGTCAATCAATGGATTTCGATCCATGTATGGGTGGCTTACAGTGACACTAAAGCTTGTTTTTTGTTTTTTTCTTTTTTAAAAAAATAGCAAACATGTCTATACTTACCTGCTCTATGCAGTGATTTTGCACAGAGCAGCCCCAATCCGCTTCTTTTCGGGTCCCCTCTGGCGTTCCTGGCTTCTCCTCCTTGAGCAGTGCCCCCAGGAAAAGCCGCTCGCTCTGGGGGCACAGGTGCGTGCTCGTGCCCAAGCTGCTGCTCTATGCATCCATACGACATACGTCCATATGTCCCGGCCCTGGCCCCGCTCTCTCTCCTCATTGGCTCACTGGCTGTGATTGACAGCAGCGGAGCCAATAGGCTCCCGTTGCTGTCTCAGCCAATAAGGAAGAAGAAGCCCCAGACAGCAGAGGCTGTCGCGAGCAATCGCCGGATTGGAGGGAGCTCAGGTAAGTATTGGGGGGGCACACATGTTTTTTTTATCTTCATGTATTCTGAACCTTGAGTCTTTAGAACCACTTTAAGGGGCTATCCCATTTGCTGCAGTGGGCAGTCATTGAATGGTAGCTTTCTGAGCAACAGAAGAATGTAGTGTATGTTTTAAAGGACGCCAATGAGTGAAGTGTAGCTGAGAACAAACGTCTTCTACCTCTACAGAGAATAACACAAATTACAATCTTTTAATTTTTGTACTTTTTATATTCACTGATAGCAAAGAGTCTATGACTAAGGATATGTTGGCTGTTTTACTTATAGAAAGGTTGACAAATAACGCTCAACATTTTATTTATTTATTTTTTTATTTTTATATATATATATATATATATATATATATATATATATATATATATACATACATACATACATTTTATTTTTCAAATAAGGCAAACAGATATTTCATGACATAATGATACAGATTTAGATACATTTCCTTAAATATCAAAAGATTCATGTAAAAGTAGAGATTTGGATCATCACCCATTTAGAGCCCTTATTACTTGACATGTTAAAAGTAATTGATATTATAACAGCTTACAATGAATTTCATGTGTAGAAATAAGAAAAGAAGTGCTTAGGGGACCACAATGTTAACCTGTAGATCCTTCCTGGACGGACATAAATTAAAGGACTACATGTGA